CGTGTGCTCTTCCGATCTATACTAAATTGGGATTGGTCGATTTTCTTACGCTTACGTCTTACAGTCTTACGGGATTTTATGTGTGAAGGCCTTTATTCCGTTCAGCAAACCTGGCAGTACACGGAACATTTTTCGTACTCAACTTTTTTCCCTCTAGCTTATCCAGTCTCCTTATTCTTACTTTATGGTCCATGATAGAAGTCTGTGAAGAGAGCTGGAGAGAGCCTCTAATCAGAGTGGCGCCATACGGCTGCCACTTTTGATTAGTCCGCCATTTTTTCTCCATTCCCGCAGTTTTTCAAACAAATTATTTTCTAAATTTTATATTTATATTTAAAAATGCTCCGAAAAATTGTAACAAATTAAAAAATAATAAATCTAATAATTACAAAATAATGTTATTTATTGCCAATCATTGCATATTTGCTACAAAATAATATTATTCATTGCACATTATTTGTTACAAAATAATGTTATTTATTGCCAATCATTGCACATTTGCTGCAAAATAATATTATTCATTGCACATTATTTGTTACAAAATAATGTTCATTGATAAATAAAACAAAATTTATTTTAAATATGATAATGAAAAGTAAACCGCAAATATAATAAAATAATTTTATTTAAAAAAGTAATGCATTGCCATAATTTTACTGTCATAATATTTGCGATTCGGTGTAATAAAATTTTTTAAATTTTAAACGTACTGTAACAAATTTTTTAAATAACTTTAAACGCAAATTATGACAATCAAGAATATGTTCTGTGGGAATAATTTATCTCGTTCCTCGTTGCAATACCTATAACCCTGAGCTGACAGCTCACAAAGGCCAATTTTAGGAATCTTTTTCCAAGCGTATACTAAGACCGGTCAAAATTTAATATAAAGTATATTATTAGTTATCTTCGAAGGTACAAAATAACATTATTTTAAAATTTTTTTCACTACAAAATGGCGGCTCCAGTGTCCGGGTTAGGCGATGCAATTATGTCGAACCCCCTAAACGGGCGAACCGGCTGCTTCGGCAGATTTGAGTCTGGAACAAAAAACTAAATTTTTTCTTGAAATATATATCATAAACTAGTAGACTACGTAATGGGAAATTTGAAAATACCTTTTTTTCGAAAAATGGTGAGCATATGAAAAAAAAGTTTATTTTTCACATAAAAATTGCGTAATAAATGTTTTATAAACAAAAAAGTTTATAACTTATCGCAAAATCCCTACATAGTCTACTAGTTTATGATATATATTTAAA